GCGAACCGGAGCCTGCTGGACCGCCACCCGCTGCAAGCCGCACGGCAGGGAGAGGAGGGGGGCGCGGTTCGGAGGCCAGCCTGTCGACGGCGGCGCCGACGATGGAGACGACGCCGACGGCGGCGCCGACGACGCCAGCGGCGCCAGCACCAGTGCCGACGGCGGTGCCGACGCCGTTGACGCCGCCGACGGTGCTGACGCCGCCGGCGGCGACGACGATGCCGCCGACGACGACAACAACGGTGCCGACGACGACCACGACGACGACGACGACGACGACGACGACGACGACGACGACGACGACGACGACGACACCAACAGCGGCGCCGACGGCGACAACGGCGGCGCGGTCGCCGCCGCCGTCGTCCACAAAGCTCCGTCGTACTACTTTTAATGCACGGGTCACGGAGGTTACGACCCTGTCCCCAGGGCCGGCTTCTCATCCCGAGCCGTTTTTCCCCGGGTTCCAGAGCCTTGGGGAGGCCCTTGGACCCTGGAAGCCGAACGCGGCCAAAAAGGTACGTAGCCCTGATGTTGTTCAAGACGTTGGACATGGGTCGTCGTCCTCGTCGTCGGCGTTGGCGTCGTCGCTGCCGCCGCCGCCCACCAGGGCTCCTGCGGCCACAGCACCCGGGCAAACAGCTGGGTGTGCGCGTGCGGTCCCGCGCCCGTCGCGCGCCGTGGCCCTCGTGCGGGACTGGAGCGCTGGGCCTCCGCCGTCGCACTGGGCGCAGGCACCCCGACCCAGGGCTCGTTTCGATTCCTCCGATTCGATTCGATTCGAGTTCGATGGATTCGAATTCCGATTCGATTCGATGTGGGATGCCGATTTGGGCTCCGATTTCTCAATGAGGCCTCACTACTCTGCCGATTTCAGCCGATTCGACTCCTCCCGACTTGGTTGCCGATTTCCGCCGATCCGATTAATTTCGATCGCAGATTCGACTTGTCGATTCGACTCTGGGCTCTCCTGCCGACCAGGCCAATCGAGACGACGGCATCCCTCCCCGGCGAACTTTGTTTTTGGGGGGGGCCTCGCTGAGGCTTCTGGTCACCACGACCGATTCCGCCTCGCAGAGCGGGCCGTGATGGACCCCGGGAGGGATTTCGGGATTGGTTTTGAGAGGATATGGGCCAGACGGGAAAGCCGCCGTTGTCTGAATTGGTTTTCCTCCCAGATGTTTTGCCTACAGAGTGCCAGGCACTCCCGCGCCGAAGCATCCGCGTCCACCGCGCACGCTGGCCGCGCGCGTCGGATCAGCAGTAATGGTCGGACGACAATTGGGGCGTGTGGCAGACGCCTGGAGAGAAGTGATCTTGCAGCCATTCTACGTGCAAGAGAAACAAAGAATGATTGGATGATTGCAAACATTGTGGTACTCCTCGCCTCGTTTACCTTGGTCAGTCTAGTCTGTGTCATTCTCGTAGTCCCTTCGCTCTCGGTGATGGATGGCCGCCTTTGGGAGATGGCTCGGCAAGCCCACTTCTGCAGCCAGGACTTCAGCGGGCATGCAAGCCCCGGTTCCACCAGTCTCTCAGCAGCGTGTGCTGGATCAGCAAAGTGCCGCTTCGATTCCGCATGCGTCGTTGCTTTCCTTGCAGGCTTTCACTTGCATGCCGTGGTCATGCGTTTCTGGTGTGGAGTTGCAGATAGGTTTGGAAGTTCGGCTGCCACAGAACGCTCTATTTCGACGCAGCATTGCTCCATTGGCAACTCTGACTTCTGCTTGTCAACAGTGTCGGGGGGAGGTCGTCACTGGACTGAGCCCGCCAAGCGTTCTCGGGGGCAAGTTGGAGCAGAAGGAGACTGCTCGAGAGGTGGAGGAGAGGTGAAAAAGAGTGAGAGGGGGAGAGAGAAAGAGTGAGTGAATGAGACTCGTTGACACTTCTGCGAGTGTCCCTCATGTGCTGGGGTTGACTGCAAGAGCTCTTCCAGCTGCATTGCCTCAAACCTCTGGCACTTCAAGCAGCACACAGTGACTGGCGTTAAACAGCCAGACAGGCGCTCCTTCCGCTCCTACTCTTGTTCCTCCTACAGTAAGGTAAATAGTGTTGGTAGTGAGTTGTTTGATCGCATTTTAACCTATCGGGAAAAGCACGCGCGCACGCGCACGCGCACGCGCATGTGACACACTCAGGCTCGGGCTCGGGCTCGGAATCGGGATCGGTCTCAAAAACGCGTTCGGTCTCGGGGTCGGGGTCGAGCTCGCGCTCGCGGGTCGCGCTCGGGCCTCTGCTCGCGACCGAGCTTGCTCGCGCGTGCGCGCGCACACACGCACGCACGCACTCGGAGGCGCAGACGCACGAGCACGAGCACGCACACGCGCACGCACGCACGGAAACGCATAAGCGCGCGCACGCGCACGCGCACGCGCTCAGGGCTCGCCCAGGCAAGCGCGCACGCGCACGCCCTCGTTTGGAAGCGAGGCGTGACCGCAATTCTAAGACCTCCAGCCATGGGCCCCGTCGCATCCCCTTTCCCCCGCCCTTCCTCCTCCTCCTCCTCCTCCTCCTCCTCCTCCTCATCATCATCATCATCATCACCCTCATCCTCCTCCTCCTCATCATCATCATCAACATCATCATCATCATCCTCATCATCATCCTCCTCATCCTCATCCTCCTCCTTCTCATCCTCCTCCTCCTCATCATCATCATCCTCCTCCTCCTCCTCATCCTCCTCATCCTCATCATCCTCCTCCTCATCCTACTCCTCCTACTCCTCCTCCTTTTCCGCCTCCTCCTCATCCTCCTTCTCTTCCTCCTCCTCCTCCTCCTCATCATCATCATCATTATCATCTTCATCCTCATCCTCATCCTCATCCTCCCTCCCCTCCCCTCGCCCTGCCCGGGTGAGGTTCCAGCGCCCAATTTTTACAAGGGGAATTGGCTCCAGCAGCTTATCCCGACAAGAAGGGGGGTCCAGCACCCAACGCTTACGAAGGGCAGTAGTTCCAGCAGCCCGCGGCGCGGGTTCCAGCACCCAACTCTGACGAGGTAACGTCGCTCCGGCAGATGATGCCGGCAAGAAGGGTGGGTTGTCGTCTGAAAGGGCAGCTATGGCGACCCGCGACCCAGCCACGAACCCACCCTCAGCCCGTCTAACATTTCACCAACCAAATATTCACCTAGCTGTACTCTTCATCCCATCCCCCTCCCGTTCCGCCTGCTCCTCCTCCCTCTTCTCCTCCACACTCGGGGCTCGTTTACGCTTTTCATGTGTCCGCATTCCAGGGAAGACAGGAGTTCATTGGCTCCTCCTCTTCTCGAGAAAGCGCAAGCATGGATTAGCGATGCGTGGATTAGCGACGGGTGCCGCTTCCGTAGAGAATCGGCGCTTTCCGTCGCAAAATCGGGCGGAATTGGCCTCACGTTTCTGGAGGTACCTTCCCCGATCTGTGGATCTGGCGCCCATGCGCCAGATCCACGGATCCTTAATCCATGTTCAGCGCGCGCCCGGCATTATTCCGCCCTCACCTTCTTGTTAGAGACGTCTGGAGGTCGTCTTGTGACGCTTCGGAGGGCCCCCTGAGGCCCACCTTGAGGCCCTCTTGGGCGTCTTGGGCATCTCCGGGGGGGCCCTTTTATGCCGTCCTGGGCCCGCTTGGGGGGCGTTTTGCCTTGGTTTCAGTAGCTCTTAGTACGGACGTGAGGCCGCCCTGGTTTGTCCTGTGCCTATCCAGGGGCTATCTGCGACATGTCGGGCCTCTCTTGCGGTATGCGTCTGTGGCGTGGCCATGTTGGCTTATCTTGTGGTTGTGTTCGGCCCTCTGGGGCTTGTTTGGGGCTTTCAGGAGCCTCGATCCAACGCGGAGAGCGGAATCACTCAAACGGCAGGACACAATATGGTTAGTCCAGCTCAGCCCAGCCCACTCCTGATCAACCCAGACATGTCCAGGTTTACCCTGCTCAGTACAGCTCAGTCCTGTCAAGTCTAGCTGAGTCGTGCTCTGCCCCTCTAGTCCAGCTCAACCCAATTCAGTCCAGCTCAGCCCAGCTTAGTCCAGCTCAGCTCAGTTCAGCCGAGGCCCTTCCAGCTCAGCACAGCTAAGCCCAACTCCATGGGGACTGGCCAAGTTCACCCAAAATCAGCGACGCTTTGTCGATGTGAAAGCTTGAAAGACGGTGCTTGCCATTGTTTTTCAACGTTGAAGTTAAAGTTGCTTCTTGACCAGATTACATGCGGCACCCAGCCCGGTTTAGCCCCGCTCAACTGAGCCCAGTTTAGTCAATTCGAGTGAAGTCCAGGTCAGTCAAGACCAGCACAACTGGGTTGAGCGCATCCTATCTTAGTCCACCTCAGCCCAGCTCATCTTAGATTAGCCCTGATCCGTCGGGTTCGCTGCAGATCAGCGAAGTCCTGCACAGCATGGCACAGCTCAGTCGCGTTCAGCCCAATTCCGTCCAGTTCCGCATAGCTCAGTCCATATCAGCACAACTCTGCTCAACTCAGTCCAGCATGCAGTTCAGTCCCGCTCAAGCCGAGCCTTCTGGGTGGGGCAAGCAATAGGACAGTGGCAGAAATCACATTCGCTGATAATCCCAAGTAGTCGGTACGTTTGAATATTGGTTTTTGTGTAGATCTGATTGCATAATAGATGTTGGCGGTTGTACTCTGGAGCGTTGCGAAAGTATCTTCGTCACTTGTGTGCAGTGGCGCGTGCGTTGTGAGCTGACGCGAAGACAGACCGAGATTGACAAGTTCTGCCCTGCGGAAGTACCCGTTGCGCCGACCCAGCCACATGTTGCACGAGCTTTATTCGCCAAACACGCAAAGATCAGAAAAAAAAACCTGATGGCACCGATGTTGGCGCAACAACGTCCCATTGCAATGGGAATCATGACTTGCTGTTTGAAGTCTGCGTTACTGCGTTTCCCCGTGCGCACCGCGATGCTGAGTCGGGGCGCGTGTTGACTACATCCGCCTGATAGCCCATTAGTTGTTGGTCTAGCATGTTTTGCAGCACATTGTCGGGAGTGACAGGTTCAGAAGTCTGAGGATACCAAGGCGGTGCTGGAGAAGAGTAAAGCCGAGGAGGCCAAGAAGGCCGCAGACAAGAGGAAGGCCGAGGAGGCTAAGAAGGCTGCGGAGGCCAAGAAGGCGGAGGAGGCCAGGAAGGCAGAGGAGACCAAGAAGGCGGAGGAGGCCAAGAAGGCGGAGGAGGCGAGGAAGGCAGCAGAGGCCAAAAAGGCAGAAGAGGGCCGGAAAACGGAGGAGGACAAGAAGGCAGAGGAGGCCAAGAAGGCAGAGGAGGCCAAGAAGGCCGAAGAGGCCAAGAAGGCGGACGAGGCCAAGAAGGCAGAGGAGGCCAAGAAGGCGGAGGAGGCCAAGAAGGCAGAGGAGGCCAGGAAGGCGGATGAGGCCAAGAAGGCAGAGGAGGCTAAAAAGGCGGAGGAAGCCAAGAAGGCCGAGGAGGCCAGGAAGGCAGAGGAGGCCAGGAAGGCGGAGGAGGCCAAGAAGGCAGAGGAGGCCAGGAAGGCAGAGGAGGCCAAGAAGGCAGAGGAGGCCAAGAAGGCAGAGGAGGCCAAGAAGGCAGAGGAGGCCAAGAAGGCAGAGGAGGCCAGGAAAGCAGAGGAGGCCAGGAAGGCAGCAGAGGCCAAGAAGGCGGAGGAAGCGAGGCGAGCAGAGGAAGCTAAGAAGGCAGAGGAGGCCAGGAATGCAGAGTTGGCCAAGAAGGCAGAGGAGACCCGAAAGGCTGAGGAAGCCAGGAAGGCTCAGGAAGCCAAGATGGCAGAGGAGGCCAAGAAAGCAGAGGATGTCAGGAAGGCGGAGGAGGCCAAGATGGCAGAGTTGGCAAAGAAGGCAGAAGAGGCGAAGAAGGCGGAGGAGGCCAGGAAGGCAGAGGAGGCCAGGAAGGCCGCAGAGGCCAAGAAGGCAGAGGAGGCCAGGAAGGCAGAGGAGGCGAGGAAGGCAGAGGAGGCTAGAAAGGCTGAAGAAATCAGGAAGGCCGAGGAGGCCAGGAAGGCAGAGGAGGCCAAAAAGGCAGAGGAGGCTAAGATGGCAGAGTTGGCAAAGAAGGCAGCGGAGGCAAAGACAGCAGAGGAGGCTAAAAAAGCAGAGGAGGCCAGAAAGGCGCAGGAGGCCAAGATGGCAGAGGAGGCCAAGAAGGCAGAGGAGGCCAAGAAGGCGGAGGAGGCCAAGAAGGCCGCGGAGGCCAAGAAGGCAGAGGAGGCCAGGAAGGCAGAGGAGGCGAAGAGGGCAGAGGAGGCCCGGAAGGCAGAGGAGGCGAAGAGGGCAGAGGAGGCGAAGAGGGCGGAGGAGACCCGGAAAGCAGAGGAGGCCAGGAAGGCACAGGAGGCCAGGATGGCAGAGGAGGCCAAAAAGGCGGAGGAGGCCAGGAAGGCCGAGGAGGCCAAGTTGGCAGAGTTGGCCAAGAAGGCAGAGGAGGCAAAGAAGGCAGAGGAGGCTAAAAAAGCAGAAGAGGCCAGAAAGGCAGAGGAGGCCAGGAAAGCAGAGGAGGCCAGGAAGGCAGCGGAGGCCAAAAAGGCGGAGGAAGCCAGGAAAGCCGAGGAGGCCAAGAGGGCGGAGGAGGCCAGGAAGGCTGCTGAGGCTAAGAAGGCAGAGGAGGCCAGGAAGGCAGAGGAGGCTAGGAAGGCCGAGGAGGCCAAGAAGGCAGAGGAGGCTAAGAAGGCAGAGGAGGCCAGGAAGGCAGAGGAGGCCCGTAAGGCAGAGGAGGCCCGTAAGGCGGAAGAGGCCAAGAAGGCTGAGGAGGCCAGGAAGGCGGAGGAGGCCAGAAAGGCTGAGGAGGCCAGGAAGGCGGAGGAGGCCAGGAAGGTTGAGGAAGCCAGGAAGGCCGCTGAGGCTAAAAAGGCAGAAGAGGCAAAGAAGGCCGAGGAGGCGAGGAAGGCAGAGGAGGCCCGGAAAGCGGAGGAGGCCAAGAAGGCAGAGGAGGCCAGGAAGGCAGAGGAGGCCAAGAAGGCAGCGGAGGCCAAAAAGGCGGAGGAAGCCAAGAAGGCCGAGGAGGCCAGGAAGGCAGAGGAGGCCAAGAAGGCAGAGGATGCCAGGAAGGCCGAGGAGGCGAGGAAGGCCGAGGAAGCCAGGAAGGCCGCGGAGGCTAAGAAGGCCGAGGAGGCCAAGAAGGCAGAGGAGGCTAAGAAGGCAGAGGAGGCCAGGAAGGCAGAGGAGGCCCGTAAGGCAGAGGAGGCCCGTAAGGCGGAAGAGGCCAAGAAGGCTGAGGAGGCCAGGAAGGCGGAGGAGGCCAGGAAGGCAGAGGAGGCCAAGAAGGCGGAGGAGGCCAAGAAGGCGGAGGAGGCCAAGAAAGCCGCAGAGGCCAAGAAGGCAGAGGAGGCCAAGAAGGCAGAGGAGGCCAAGAAGGCAGAGGAGGCGCGTAGACAGAAGGCAGAGGAGGAGGAGGCCAGGAATGCCAGGGAGGCGGCAAAGAAGCAGGAGGAGGTGAGAAAGAAGCTCGAGGAGAAGAGAGCGGAGGCCACCCTTTGGGGTGTGCAGCGTTCTTGTGTGTGTTTGTGTGTATGTTTGTGTGTGCACGCGTGCGTGCGTGC